CCTTTATTTCGCTCACTGGGGTAGACTGTTCTAGTTCCACGTGCCATGTTTAATGGATGTCAATTATCAGTTACCTCCTGTTAATTTTCCCTCTGAAAGTTCTCCGCTGCCTTAACCGGGTATTGAACTCAAACTCTTTGGGTCCTGTCACTGGATCTAACCAACGCCTTTATCCACTGTACCATGTGTCCTTGGCGAGAAAGATGAGGACAATAGTCCGAATAATGTAAATAATGTACACAATACCGCATCTCAGAAATATAGACAGATTCTTTTTGTAATTTTTGCACTTTTACAATCCCTCTTTCTTTTCTTTCCTACCGTCCATTCACACAAACCTGTTTACTTGATTCCCTGGCCTGATCTCATGCGAGTTTTAAATTCTCTAAACATTCTTTCCTCTTTATGTGTCGCAGACATTTCAGCTAACTGCATGCAATGATTAAAATAAGCTAAAGGAGATTAAACTAATGTAATTATCATCAACTTTAGAAGTTATTTCTATTAGCAGTTTGAGAATATTATCCTATTTCTTGATTGCACTAATTGGATAGTTTTTTTCTTTCAAACTTCTAAAGGTGGACGCCTTATTTGTGTGTGCGAGTGAAATGAGATTTTGGATTTCTATAAGGGTCTATCCTTTGCAATTTGTAATGTCACCACCTCATAGATGTATGTGTTATTATTCTCCCATCTGTTTCAGAGTGTGGTTCCTGTGTCAAGGTAAAATGCTAAGTAGGCAGCTTATACATCATTCGAAGGCGGATAGAGTATAATCCTTGCACTCAAAAACCACCATTAAAATTGCCTTATACCGTACTTAACTGAAGTTTCTTTAATATTTAAAGAAAAATCTTTACTGGAACGATTCAAGCGAACATGAAAGAACATTAGAAATAGATGTATGTTGATTTTGCATGGGTCGATGTCTTTGTGTGATAATTAAGCATGTGGTCTTCTTGGTCAGTGATTTTGTAGGAAATAGTGTGCACACTGGGTTCCTCTCTATTGTAGGCATGTAAAATTCTAATCTATCTATAGAAATATCCATCTCCTTAAATTTAAGAGACATGGGTAATGTAAAGACTATCAGTACAGGAAGCAAAATCAGTGAACCGTGTTTAAATTATAACTTCGTTTGCTAATGATATTTTCGTAAAAATCCCCATGGGAAAGAATTCATATCTCCCAACAATGTCAAACAAACATAATTACATATAAATGTTAATATCTGTGTTTATATTCATCTACTGATTTCCTGTACACGTGTTAAACATTTTGTACATCCGGCAAATCGGCACAAATTAAACTACGATGGTCGGTCAAAAAATAAACTCCTTTCTAATTTTATTTCGGTAATATAAAATCAAAATTCTTACAAGATATTCATTTAGCTATAAACCATGACAGGTCTAGAATCGTCAGGAAAAATCTTTAAGTTATTAATCTTTTCTTTTCCAACAATGGATGCTCCTCTGTACACATAAGATGCAAAGAACCGTTATAGAATATCTATTTTCTCAATAGCACAAGTACTGCAAACGTTCAGAGGAGCGTAATGAATGTTTATGGAAAAGTTACAGACTGTAGAAATTTTGGAGGAAGATAATAATGATTTGGTAATATTTGGGGGAAAATAGGTGGAATCGTACCTTTTCCATGGGGTATTTGTGCGTAAGTGAATCTAACTAATCCAATGGAAAATTCTACGATTAACAATTCCGAGGCATTGTCCATTACAACACCCACGCATCCAAGCTTACAGCACATGATATTCCCAAGTAGTCACCCATATAGGAACTGAGCAGGTGCGGCATTACTTAAATTCGGTGGTCGTACGGAATTGGTAAAAGGTGCAGTTGATGGGTTAGTAAAGATAATGACACTTCTAATGAGAAACTGACTTTGGTAACATACTCCATATTTGCAGGCGGACTGCTTCTGTTTATGTGCATGAAGTCAGTCAAACTGATGCTCTCATTACAGCTAACAGTAGAAAAGGTGTGAATGTCCGCCGGTTAGACATTGCAGTGCCTGTAAATTAGTACAGACTCTAGGCTACTCAAAGTTTGGTGTATAATATCTTACTAGGATGTTCTCTGATCACTGATGTAACACGGTTCTTAATTTCTCGAGACGATTCATTATGAAGGAATATAACATTTTGGCGTTTTTGAAATCGTAAATATAATTTATATATTGTACATGGGTGCATCCTTTACATAAATGCGATGTATTTTTCATAATATAACTCGCTTGTATTTCCGTAGACAAATTCATTATATTTTGTTTTCATTAATAGAATGTTTTTGACTATCTACTAATCTAATTGTTTTATCTTCGGATCTTTATTTCATTTACAGATATTTGTTAAAAGTTTCCAAAAAATATTACCCCACCTCCAAAATTCTAAAAACTCTCTATATATATATAATTATTTATTTAATCATATTTTTAAATAAATAATTTTATATATATATATATATATATATATATATATATATATATATATATAATAATTATTTATTTAATCATATTTTTAAATAAATAATTGTATATATATATATATATATATATATATATATATATATAATTATTTATTTAAAGATATGATTAAATAAATAATTATATTTAGGCGCTACTTTTGTATCGAGCACAGTTTTTTTAAAATGATAACAAAAATACTCAAAAACTTTGGATTATTTACCCAACGAGTTCTTTCCTATTTTCTATATAATTTCCACACACACACACACACACACACACACACACACACACATACATACATACATACATACATACACACACACACACATATATATATATATATATATATATATATATATATATATATATATATATATATATATATGGGTAAATAGCAGGACAGACTGGGGTCTATAGCTTTAGATAGCAACTCTCCTAGGAGAAAGGCAAGTCTTAATTCAAAACCTACGGAGGGTTGTTTTAGGAATTTGTTGGACGTCGTGCACCAAGTCTCTGTTTAGAAATCCTCGCCCGGGATCCAAATTCTTATGAGAAAATTCAAAAACATAATATTAGTAATGAGGCACAAGAAAAGCAATAAATCAATCAGAAATTTAAATGACCGCGAGTAGAAATAATGGGTGAAACTTTTAGAATCCCACCCGACCGTACCAAAGCTTTAGGACGTACTCAAGACACACAAATTTGGCACCCCATACTATCCGGAATAACAGTATACACCACAAATTAGCAAAAATCTTAACGCCCCTCCTCGGAACAATCAGCTCAGCAGATTCGCTAACACAAACAAACACACACACATATATATAGCAATCTGTGAAGCGTGGCTTAATGTCGTCAAATTACATAAGTATGAGCAATCCGTGAGGATCGAGCTCACTAATCCATCTTAATGGATCTAGCAAGAAATTCTTCCTAAAGATTACATCAAATCGAAGTGTCACATGCACATATAGTGATTTTCTAAGCAGAGCTTAAACGGGGAACATGGCCGAAATTATGGTGGCCCCAGTGAGGATCGAACTCACTACTCATTCGAAATTGTTCTAGTGAGACAAGCTTGCTAACATTATGTTAGACATTTTCATGACGGTCGTCTTCGAGTATAGAATTCAGAGGTTGGCAGTGAATATTTCGAAGACAGTAGGAAAGCGTAGTGCAGGTTCGCAGTGGATATCGCAGCAAGCTAGCAGAGCGTAGTTCTTCCGTCTGTCCTTTTCGCCGGACAAGTTGCCTCTGGTCATTCCAGTAAGAAAAACAAAGATGGCCGCCTTTATACACGACGGATACAGGGTTGCGCGGCTTTTGATTGGTCAACCTTCTAGTGGTCGACTATAAAGGGAAATAAGTCATTTTGACTCGCTCACTAGTTATATACAGCATATACCAAAAAAACTGTAACACATTACACCACCACGGGGTGCCCACACGCATGCACATATATATGTCAATGCTTGGGCACCTCGAGGCGGTGTAATGGTTAGCAAGCTTGGCTCGCTAGAACAATTACGACTGAGTTGTGAGTTCGATAATTAGTGGGTGCCCTCTAATTTCGGCCTTGTGCCACATCTAAGCTACGCTTGGAAAATCACTATATATGTCAATGCTTTGTGCACTTAGTACATTTTAGCATATATCTCATCTCGGATAAACTGCGAAGTGACGCAACGTTTATGTGCAGAGTAAATGAAACCGTCGCTCTTTACATAGCACTAATAAAGTTATAGATGGCTATAGGAATTTCTATGCGTAGCATACATTTGGCAGAAGGGACGAATAAGATATCCAGTCAGGATCGAACTCACTACTCCGTCGAGACAATGTTTCTGATGATTAAACCACATTGAGGTTCCCCAATTTCTAGAAGAATATCACTCGACATTTCAGCTGCCTCTTTGCTGGTATGCCAAAATATTAAACAGAGTGTGGGTGAGTGAAAACTTTTTCAAAACCACTCCCCTATAATTACCTTTTTATCTTTACAATTAAAAGAGTAAAACTATATCGCTAATTGTAAAACTTAGCTGGACTAGTATTAATATACCACAAGAACTAAGATTGTTTTTGTCATTACCATTAATATTTGATGCGGTGTTGTGCCAACCATATAGACTCTGTGAAGACATAAACAGATTGAATAGTGTTGCAATAAAATATTGATATCTTACAACCTGTGGAAATTTGAAGGTTTTCCTATTTTAATTTTCTGATGAAGCGTAATTCTTAATTTAATGATTGAATAAGTTACTTACGAGTTCTACGGCTATAAATTACCCGGGATAATTTCCTTATTGCTTTAATATTCGAGCTTAATAGATATACGAAAATGTTACAACAACAACAACAACAACAACAACAATAATAATAATAATAATAATAATAATAATAATAATAATAATGAATGAATGAATGAATGGGGGTAATTAATAAAATGTAAGAAGATACAAATAAAAAGATTAAAAACTCTCAAGTAGAATTTAAACGCATGTGAGTGCTGTCACCTCCTCCATACCCTTTCCTTCTTTATTTATTTCTATTCTGCTTATCTTTCTTTCCTCCACATCTTTCTTTGATTCTTTCATTCTTTCTTTATTTACGTCTTCAATTACCTGCTTTCTTTTTTCTTTCTTTATTTCTGCCCTCTTTCTCTATATTTTTTCCACTGTCTTTCTTTCTTTCTTTCTTTCTTTCTTTCTTTCTTTCTTTCTTTCGTTCTTTCTTTCATTCTTTATTTCTCTCATTCTTTCTTTTTTCTTTATTTCTTTCTTTCTTTATTTATGTCCTCAATCGCCTGTTTCCTGTTTTCTTTCTTTATTTCTATCCACCACATCTTTCTTTCTTTCTTTCTTTCTTTCTTTCTTTCTTTATTTATTTATTTATTTATTTATTTATTTATTTATTTATTTATATCCTCAGGCGCCGGCTTTCTTTTTCTTACTTTATTTCTATCCCCACCTCATTCATTCTTTCTTTCTTTCTTTCTTTCTTTCTTTTCTTTTCTTTCTTTCTTTCTTTCTTTCTTTTCTTTCTTTCTTTCTTTCCTCAATCACCGGCCTTCTTTCTTTCTTTCTTTCTTTCTTTCTTTCTTTCTTTCTTTCTTTCTTTCTTTCTTTATATCCTCAATCGCCGGCCTTCTTTCTTTCTTTCTTTCTTCCTTTCTTTCTTTCTTTCTTTCTTTCTAGATAGATAGATAGATAGATAGATAGATAGATAGATAGATAGATAGATAGATAGATAGATAACGAGAAACAGAGACATACAGATATATATATACACAATGATATACAGGCAAGCAGGCAGGAAGTGAGTAAATTATACGTTAGTCAAATTTAGAGACGGGTTCTTTGCATTCACGTACACGCTAATACCCCTCTCTTCTTCCCCCAGACATGGGATGAATAGTAGAACACAGTGGGTCCTGTAGCTTTGGTTGGCAACTAGTCTACCGCAGAAAGAAATAGCAACATACTGCGGAAAAATCTCCCTAGTTAATCATGAATCAAAAGCGCCATGATCACCCAAGCGTATATCCCGTATGGCTCTTAACTAACTCTGAAGTAAATATGTTGCTAGTGGGATTCTGTCTCAACATCTCACTGTAGTAGCGAATGAAAGCCTGCTTGTAATATCTGATGGATTACCAGCAGAAATACGCAGTTATATCATTAACTAACTAAACATAATTCATAAGGATGATGTTCTTCCCAGATAGCTTCTACCTCAGAACTATAGCATTGTTAAACAAACGATATGGTGTTTCTCGGATCAATACAATCATAACCTTCTCACATCTAGGTTCAACTATTATTTATCCTACATATATTTAAAATATGCTACTTTTAACTCTTCTTTGTACCCCATTACAACAGTTAGTGCCTCTCTACAGTGAGTGGCTCTTGGGCCTTATTTTTTGTAGACAATACTATTAAAAGACACACGTTACTCCTTTGTAGTTTTTCAAGATTAATAATTCAAGATTAATAATCAAACATAGTACGTGATATCTACTCAGTGTCACAGCAGAATGTCCGAAGAACTGGGTGAATCGTAGTTTTAACTTGAAATGCTCCTCCTAGTTACGTAGCCGAGATTCGGGCTAAATAAGGTGTCAGTGGTTACTCCCAATATGTAAATATTTGTTAAACGAAGCCTCACCAATAGACAGGGATCCTCTCTCGACGGAACCTAAACTTAGAATAGGTCTGAATGTACATTGTGGGGAGGGGGAATGACATCAGTGCTGTTCTCTAACGCTCACTCCTCAAGATCAAGACAAACAAAAAAAGACGAAGTACGGAAGAGAATTACCAACAATTTATTTACACATGAGTGATTTTGTCTCTGAAAAAAGTCAACATTACACAGCTTCGTTCTTTGCAAAACTATTTCTGTTGTTGACTTTTACTCGTCTTACTTTCGCTTAACATGTGACGACAACAATCAAGATGGATGAAAAGAAAAGTTGTGCTACGCAAGTCTATCAAGGTAATTGAGTGATTAATAAAAATTTGTATTTCAAATGCCGTTTTTTTTTTTCAATTTATCTTGAACTCTCATCTGATATAGATTAAAAATAAATAAATCAGAATTGTAACCACAGGGCTATACAAGTTCAGACTAAAGTCATATCAATCAGATACTATTTAAAAATTCTTCTTCTAGAGGCAGCTACTGCTCTATAGCGGGGCCACACCGACCCTTAAAAAAATAAAAGGTTCCTGTCTCGGCAGAACATACACACGAATACTGAGAATAGCTCTCAATGTATCATAGAGGGACCATGTTCCCAATGCCGTTCTGGATGGCTCTCTAACCATTATTTAAGCAAAGACCAGAAAAAGACGACTGAAATTTGCTGGACATTGGATACGCTATCTGAATGAGGAAGCATCAAAATTTATACTGCGGCTGCCTATGGATAGGACGCCAAACTAAGAATGATCGGCTTACTTATTCATTGATTATCGGTACAATTACAGAGGACTGCAGTCTATAGATAAACACGGAACTACAGTGGAAGCTCGAGAATGCTTAACAGAAACTGTCTACTCGGATCGGATTTGCATACGAACAACTTTGTCACCCTCCACCTCAATATATCTTGTCAAATTCTCCAAGCCTTGTTTCCTCATTAGAAATATTCAGTTTCTTTCTGATCCAAAGTATAAGCGTCCATTTTGTTTTTTATTTTCCCGAAAATTTCCTAGTTTCCCATTATTATTTTCAGTGTTCTTGTGTTATTTCCTTATCATCTGTAAGAAAGAACAGTACATTAAAACGAGAGCTAAAATTATCATTAATGAGATTATCTTACAGATATCCTAATTTTAGCCTTGTGCCAGACAGTGTGAAACCTCATCACTGTCATTCTTAAATTGGTTTAAAATATTCTTTATCGGTTTTTCTATTCCATTTTCTCCAAATGTGAACCTTTTACTGAATGATAGACACAGACACAAGGGAACGAACACACCGTAAATCCTTCCATATATTTGATAAACAACCAGTGAAATTCATCAGAGACAAGGCGAATTCATGAATATTAACGAGATCTTTTCTTTCAAGTATCCAGCTATTTCGTCATGTCATTTCTTTCTGTAAAAGGAGTTCTGATCCTTGTTTGAAATAAATGTTTATATAATCAAGAAACTTTGCCATGAAGAGGATTCGATTCTGTAGAGTAGATTAGAATTGCACGGAGCTTTTGTTTGGTCTTCGATGTTGTCACCTTGCATCGGCCTGATTCGGAACATCAAAGGTCAAAAGACCTTGGCGATTTATAGTTTTGTGCGGAAGGAATCTGTACAGGTTTAATCAAATCGTGAAATGTCAACTCATTTTTGGGAGAAAAAGAATTTTCTAAATTGGAATCGGATTAGAAAGGATTCTTTCTCGATTTACCGTTTCAGGAAATGCACTGAAATTCAGAGGTGATCATTTTACAGCCAGGCATTTTTCGTTCAGCACTCAGACAATATTTCCCTTTTTTATTTCGTATGGAAATAACAAATCTTATTGGATAATGCTAATATAATTAATTCTGAACATAAAGCGAAATTATTATAATGTACGGTAGATATATTAACATATATCTTAGCTATTGGCAATTTTAGAAGTATACTAGCAGCATGACCCGGCGTTGTCCGTGCTTGATTCAAAAATCGTACGACTCATACAGCAATCGCTATCACTTGACTTAAAATATTTTTGCCCTTCTTTACCTTTAAAGGAGTGCCCTTTTCCATGCTGCTGTTACTAAATGCCTTACTTCTTGCCTATCTCACACTGCGAATTTTTTCGAAGCTCTATACTAAACATTAAATCTGTTACGAAAACAGAACTAAACAAAATGAACACAAAACGATCAGCTTTAAAAAAGGACTCGTAACTGGAAAAAACGAATGAAAAAAGAATGTTAACAACAAATACTTTTTCCCACCTATACCCAGTTCTGCGGAATCAGAATCAACGTTGAGTTTAAGCAAGCGAATGAGCCAATTGGAGTAAAGTGCCATGCAGATTTAATTTTTTCCCACTTGTAACGAATGCAGCTATCGATTTTTTTTTTTTGCATGCTAGAATGCAAGTTAACATTCGTGTCAGTCAGTTGTTGGCTCTCACGCTGGCCAATTGAATATTCCTGCCTATTCGTGTCAGCCAGCTATAGGCTCTCACTCTGGCCAGTACACACACATACACACGCACACACACACACACACACACATCCTGCCTTTTTATAGATAGAGATCAATGCAGAAACTAATACACTTTCCATTGAATCAAGCATCATATTATATAAGGTGAGGCAGAAATACCTCTCACATAAGTGTAAAACATTATCCAATGTCTTGTGCGTGGTTTATGTAGGATGTATTTCTATCGCACCGTGTATTATGTGACGTGTCACCTCAGCACGGAGATGATCATGGTCCCCCCCCCGCTAACTTTCCACCTCTGGTTGCTCTAAGCAAAATTTGACTCTCTGACATTCTTCTGTGTCCCCGTTCTGTCATTTATTTGCCCAAACTATGTATGATACTCAGTGTTTCCCGGTGTATCTTATAATCTGTGTCATGTTCGTGTCACATTCTCCAAGTCCTCTTTCCTCATTATTCCATATCACACCGTCGTACGATCACCGAAGATATCAACATCGAGACTAATCAGTACATCGATGGGTGACTGCTTATGTATGTTACTTGCTGTAAACTTGAGTATGAGGGTGCTGTATAGATAACATCACAGAATTGGAAATAGGGAGAGCCGTTTCCCAATCCCATTCGGGATCGTTATATTCACTTACTTGTAATTATATTTGCAAAAGGTATATATTCTCCTCTTCTTCACTGGGTATCGGTTAATTAGTATGACCTGTAAAACATTATTATCGCCAAAAGAATCTTACAATCTTAAAATATTTTCTGGCTTTAAATAAGTCACGTAGATAATTAGTCATAAAAAACAATAAATCAGTTAACTAATTCACATGTGCCCGCCACAGTTCAGCTATCTCTGATGTAAACACAAGGAGAAAATACTTTGAAAAATTAATAACATTATTACCAACTATAAACACATTCCTAAAAAATTACATTACATTGCCATCTTTCTTTGAAAACATTATTAAAGAATATAACTTGTATCTATCTAATGCAAAGAATAAATGATTAAAAAGACCAGGCATAGATTCGAATAAAGTGCCACTCCGCTAGGCTGGCTGACCGCACAAAGGTGAAGACATTAGAACTCTCACTAGATAGACATACATACACAATCACGAATACACATAACCATCCGATGCCCGCTTAAACATACGAGAATCTTCACAAACTTACATATAGAATTATCTACGGTTTTAATGCACATGACACGTGACTGACACAAATAAAATTGAAAATACCAGATTCCGTCTTTTTGTCTGTTTTCTCTGACGAAGCTTTAATAAAATTGAAACATGTTAGACTGATAAACGTTTCCTTTTTGTTTGTTTTTTTTTATTTTTTCACACTAGTGTATTTTTTCGTTTCACTTTCATTACAACTTCGTCTTTTGCTAATATGTCCCGTACATGATATTTTCAACATTCTTTTCTATATCTCGAACCTCCTGTTCATCTGTGAGGAATGTGTCCAGCAGTATTATTACAGAGCAGTTCATATGTCTTGATACATTGCTTAGGTTCGAGA